GCCAATAATATGAAATAAAGTTGTGTGCTAGTGGCCCCATATTCCTTGTTTGTGACGGTGTATGATTCTAAGTGACTTTTATATTCTTAGTTGTGGACATTTGTTTTTCAAACTATGTATACACATACATATACATATATATAGCTTATATACACATATGTGTATGTGTTGGGAAAATTTTTTTCTTAAATTTTCTTACAGTGGATCAAGAATGGAAGGAAATATGAATAGGGGTAATAAATGTGAGCAAATATAGTAAAGTAAATGAAAAATACGGGGAAGTGGACAGAAAAAAAGTAATTCTGAGATGTTCTCTGATGGAGGACAGCTACTGAGGGACTCTCATAAAAGTCACAGAGCCACCATCAAAAAGTAATAAATCTCTCTGAGAAATGTCCCCATTGAATTAAGCACTCCTCACATAAAAAATATCCAATTTTAGGTATACCTAATTTAAAATTCTCTTTTCTTGTTAATCTGGAAAGTCTGTCCCCAGAATCATTCTATATCACATATCTGTCTGCTTTGAAATAATCCCTGAACACTACACCTGAAATAGTCATGCCAGGAATGAAGCTGTGTAGAACTATTCTTCAGAAAATTGGCTTTTCAAAAGAAAATGTGCATCAGATTTAAGGCATAATTAGTTAAGAAATATCCATTTCAGTTTCTTCTATTTTTTAGAACTTTTACATGTAGAAGAAATTTATAATTATTAATTTCGAGTCCTTTAAACAACATAATCCTTTGTATGTCTCTTTCAGTTATAGAAATAGACTTGTGGCAGTTAACTATTTGTATTACGCAGCAGTGCTGTATATGAAGGTCATGAAGCTAATTTTCATTATCATTCTAATGAAATAAAAAAGAAAGTATCCCTCCCAAAGAATTTATACACCGTTGTATGAATATAACATGTACACATTTTACAAAATCCAATTCCCAGAACTTCACAATTGTTTATGTATTTATTGTGCATCATAACAATTTGCTTACTCTTAAAGTACTTCTGATTTGTTTTGTATCTTACAGAGTTTATTCCATTCAATTCTCTATAAGTTGTCTCTTGTTTCCAAATTATTATAAATTCAGTATGACATCAAGCATAAATCATCGTTTATATTAATTAAGTGTGATTGTTAATGAAAGACAATTAGGTATACATCACTAAATGTCTGACTGAAACAAATTAGGCAAGAAAATAATTTATAGCCAATAATGAGAAATAAAGTTGTTGTGTGCTAGTAGCCCCATATTCTTTGTTTGTGACGGTGTAGGATACTAAGTGACTTTTATATTCTTATTTGTGGACATTTGTTTTTCAAACTATGTATATCAGAAAGACATTCAAAGGGGCAAAATTTACCCTGATACTGAGTGGAGCACACAAATGCTTGGCACACTGAAAATGTTTCAAGCTTGGTTGGCTTTTCAATGCAGGTAAAGAAAATTAGAGATAGGCCACTGAATGCTAATCACACTATTGCATCTATTCACCACATTTAAATTCTTACGGTGAACATATTTATCATTGGCTTGTGATGCTACATCATTTTTTAATATTGCTCTCAAGATGCTTGATAGAATTTCATGTCCTAAGTCGAGAAAACCACGGTAAATGACAAACATGTAGCAGATTTCTTATCTGGAATATTAACAGAGTGTCTCCAATTCTACACAGAAATGCAGTCCAAAAAAATGTAGTAATTTCAATATGGTGTCCACTCTTTTAAGTGTATACAAGATCATAATCCCCAAGCAATTTTTTAAATGACTGCATCAATTACCTGACAATTGGGCAAATTCAAGACATATCAGAAAAAAACCTGAGGAATAATTATTCAGAAATATAGGAAGGTATCTATTTGTCCAAGTGCAATAACCTGATAGAACAGTAAGTCCTCATGTTAAGCAAACAAAAGTATCCACCTCTTCCTAGTACCCAACAGAAAATCAGAATGTTCACACTGGAAGAAAAAAGAAAACAGAAATAGGAGAAGCATGAGCTTTATTCACTGGTTTTTTTAAACCTAAGTTAGTTTTTACATGAGAATTGAGTATATATATAGGTTGAAGCTGATACAAAAAATTTATAGTATTTAAAACTTTCTTTTCTTTAAAAAGCTCATATATCATATACATGAACTTAGGGCCTTAAATTCTAGAAGTGACCTTATTTTTTACACCAACTGTATCTATGTAAACTTCATTGGCTCAATTCATTATAAAACGGATGCGGTAGGCACTGAGGCAAATTGGAAAGCACAGGACGCTAGACAGAAGTCAGCTCAAGCTGCTGGGGAGAAGGAGAAATGCAGACACAGTATTTTCACATCTTTCCATCATTAGGAAATAAAAGAGTAAAATCTCCCAGTTTTTAAATATTTACAACTAATTAAAGGTTGAAAAAGTTATTTCTCTGAGTAGTTCTACAAAATGACCCGCATATACAGATCATGTCAGTAAAGAGCAACTGAGCAAGATGTAAAGCAGTAAGAATTAGAGCAATCGGAGAGGAAAGAGAAAGCCCCAAGATGTTTTCTCATTTGGCTCCTGCCTGCAGACAGGTAAGATATTCATCTGGTTTAAAAGCTGAGGCAGTCAAGGCTCAGAGATTAAAATGAGCTTGTCCAAAATCACACCGAAAGTAAGTAACATGACAAGCTGACCACCTTCCATGTTTTTGTTTGTTTTTAAGCTAAATAACCATTGGCTTGGAAATTTTACTTAATAAGTCATGGCCTGAAAAAAGACGAAAAGAAAATTTTGAAATAAAGGTGACAGTGAACAAAATCGCCATAGAAGGAGTATAGTAAACAAAAAAGAAAGCAGAAACAAGAAAAACACTAAAGTTAAGAAAGCCTATAATAAGGAGCATAGTAAGGGCTTCTTTGCCTTTTATCAGTGAAATTATTAAAGAATAGCATTCTAGGAGAAAGAACAACAAAATATAAAGCAGGTGGAGAATCAAGTTACGTAGTTAAGAAATTAACTACAATCCATGGCAGGGTAGTGAATATCATTAATTCAAACTGGGCAATTAAAAATAATAAAACTGGTTAATAAGATAAAGAATAATGGGACGACAGATGCGTAATAAAGTTTTCAAAAAAATTTATGTACACAAAAAATTCTTATCATGCAAAAAAAAAACAAAAAAAACACAGCTCAGATAGATCCATCCTGGAATTAACGCCCAGGTATTTCATTCCCAATCTGGTCAGCAGCCTCTATCCTCAGCTTTAGCGGGGCTGAGGGTAATTCTCTGCCTTTCAGGTGGGTGACCCTCAACCAGAAACAGGGAAAGAATATATTTTAAAAAATGGAATTGGAGAAAACAGTAATTTTCATACTTTTGTTAGGGCTAGGAATATTTCACTTGTTATTTCAAGTGTGTGAAACATTTAAGAGAATCTGACACATTAGGAAATCGATATTTAAGGCTTGTGGTTTGTATTTAAAAGATTTTAAAACAATTAGCAATAATCTTGACATTTTAATTTGAAATACTGAAGGACAGTTTGATTGACTAAGTTTATACAGAGTGTTTGAAAACTGATTGACTAAGGCATGCATTTGGCTTTCAGTGTGAAAGTGCTCAGGAAGACTTGTATTAGATTTGTAAAGCTGCCTTCTCAATTTAGTGTGCTTGGGAAAATTAAGCATATTGGGGGTTACAGTTTGAAAAGTCTAAAGGAATGCAATTAATCAAGTTTGAAAATGATGTGAAATGTTTAGGAGAATTTAATCTGTCAAATGTATAAGCTAACTGATCACTAATTAAGGAATAAATGAAAATGAGTGTTTTAAATATAATCCCAAATTACTAGATTTATCAATAAAATAAGATTTATAAATTGAGCTTAAAGGCTTATGAAAATACTCAGCTTTATAAATTAAAACACAGTAACTATTAGTATACCTTTCATATACAAAAGACCCTCAAATATTGAAAGCCCAAATGACGATGAAGATAACATTAATTTCTCCAATCAAAAAATGAGCATTTTCCAAAAATAAATTGAGATATTAATAGGTAGTCCCTAAAGAAAAGAGGTCTGTGGTTTGTGGTGGGGGGAACTCAGGAAGGAGCTACTAACTACAGTCCCTCTTAGAAATTCCTGGTGTACATTATTAAAGGTGTTAAGAAGGATTGCAATTAAGAAATGTTTCATATTTCAGTTTTTGACATAGGAGTTTGTAAATGCTTATTAACATCTTGCAGAATTACCAGAAATGCTCTAGAAAGCACAGTCTGGGAAGCCCTACATTAGACAGCAGGGAAAAACTCCTTCAAGGATTCTTCTTCTTCAGAATACTAGGAACCGTAAGGAATGAAAATGAAAGAGATGGCAGGAGGCTGAAGTTTCCATTATTTGGTATTACCACATAACAGCTGGCAGGTGGGCTGCCTTAATGACATGGTATAGTTCTACCTCAGGATTTTTTCACGTATTATCACTGCTCAAAACTACTGTTTGTGCTTTCCTGAGTATAACACTTGAGCCGGTTCTCTTCTTAAAACTCCATGCATATATAAGATTTTTCACTATAACCTATATCCTAGATGATTCCAAAATCCTTATCTCCAGTCCTGACTTCCATTTTCAGATTCAAATCCAACTGCCTAAGGGACATCCCTGCCTGGTGGACCTAAAATAACTTCAAATTCAACACAGTCAACACTGAGTCCATTCTTTTCCATCCAAAAGTTGTTTGTACTGTAGCTTTCCACAATTCTGTTACAGTATCCCATCTACCCAGGTGCTCAATCTAAAAACTTGAGAAAATTCTAGAGTCCCTCATCTCCCTCAGCCTCCACATGGGTAAGACCTTTTGCAACACATCCCTGATACCACTTAAGTTCATCCTTTTTTTCCCATTTTGGTTTTCACTACTGACATTTAAGATGTCATTATTTCCTTCCCTGGGGCTTTGCAACCTTCTCTGGTGGGTTGTCTTTCTTTCTTTCTTTTTTGCAAGTCTTTTCATTTTTAATATTCAAAAAAGTTTCATTTTTTATTTAGCTTTCTGACTCTGTGCTTGCGCCTTCAACACTTTCACAACGATTTTCTGCTCCTCAATAAGGAATGCATGCTTGATCCTGTCATGAACACATTTAGCACACATGGAACCACCATAGGCCCTGCCGACATGTTTGTTTGTTTTGGACAATCTCATAAGAACTTTAGATCTTATAGCACGAACCCCTCAAAGTCTGCCTGGGCACATGCCATATGCAGATTTTGGTGCTTTCCCAACCTTCTTGGTATAAAGGTAAACAATGCTATTACCAGGGATTCGGGACAGCCTAATTTTGTTAGAGGCTTTGTTGTAGGAAAGCCTGTGTCAGTATGTCAAACGCTGGACCCTTTTGAGTACCTGAAGGCAACCTCCCCAGAAGAGTGGTTGTCTTTCTTATGATCTCCCTCTGTAGTCCATAGTATGCAGGTGTTACGAATTTTGTTTTTTAGCATAAGTCATTCAATGCTTTCCCATCATGTACATATAATATTTTAAATTCTTGGTATAATATCCATAGCCCTTCATGCTCTGGCTTCTACTTACCTCTCTAGACCCCTCTCTCACTATGACCTCCAGGCTTATGCTGTGTTCTGGACACACCCAACTTGTCACACACGCAGTGATCCTTCTGATCTCTCTATTTTTATACATCTTGTTTTCTCTGGAACACGCTTACTATATTCCCTTCTCCCAACAAAACTCCTAACTCACCCATGAAGATTCAAATGAGATGCCACCTCCTCTGGGGAGCCTCCCCTATCCTTTATATATTTCCTTATTCTTCTGGCCTAGTTCACCACACTTTATTCATATATGCAAAAGGCACTCATTTCAAATTGCTGCAATTATTTGCTTTACATAGCTGCCAGGCCACTAAGACTGAAACAATGTGGAATATTTTCCAGATATTTTAAAATCTTTGAAAAATACCTGGCATAGTATCTAAATTAAGTCAATACTCTAATTATTTTATTTTTATTTTTTATTTTGGATGTGGAGGCTCACTCTGTCACCCAGGCTGTAATGCAGTGGCACGATCTCGGCTCACTGCAACCCCCGCCTCCCAGGTTCAAGCGATTCTCCTGCCTCAGCCTCCTGAGTAGCTGGGACTATGGGCGTGTGCCACCACGCCCAGCTAATTTTTGTATCATTTAGTAGAAACAAGGCTTCACCATATTGGACAGGCTGGTCTCAAACTCCTAACCTCATGATCCACCCACCTCGGCCTCCCAAAGTGCTGGAGTTACAAGCTTGTGCCACTGTGCCCGGCCAATACTCTTAAATTTTTTTTTAAGTCTAAGTTATAATTTGACTATTTTCTTCTTAGTCTAATTCTCCGTTAGAAATTCCATCAGAAATTTCCATCTCACTATCTTATCTATTTCCTCAACTTTTCTTTTTTTGTTTTTTTTTTTCTTAAATTGGCCAATAGTAAATGATAAATGTCCACTCCTATTTTTCCTATTCATTTCTATAATTAAAGCACAAAACATAGTCAAGTTTCAAATATGTTAATTTTAATATATGTCCCTTCTCTTCTGTTCACAAATCCATATGCCTGAAGGACATCAGAATCTGAAGTACTTGGGCTGATTCTTCTGTTAGAGGCCTTAGTCTTTCTTCCTCTACGGAGAAAATTGTTTCAATTCAAAAATTACTGAGCAACCACAAAGTAGTCACGTCAGGTATGAAGATAACAATTCTCAGAGAGATCCAAGATGGCTGATCACTAGCAGCTCG